ACTCCGGGAGGGTAGAAGTCCAGAGGAGGCCGACCCTGCAGCAGCCGGGGGTCCACATAAGGCGGGATCATCATCCAGCGGGGATCGAAGTTCATTGGAGTCATGGGTGGGGGCCGGCCCAGAGCACCTGGGTACAGGGCCTTGGGAGGTGGTGGCGGAGCCTGTGGAGCAGGCACAGCTCCCAGGGTCACGGGCTGTGGTGGTGATGGGGGCACTGTGGCAGGAGGGGCAGAGCCCTGTTGATGCTGTTGCCACTGCTGCTGCTGCTGTTTCAGGAGCTGCTCCTGCAAAAGGGACGAGACAAGGTGAGAAGTTCTCAAAGCCCCTTCTGCACATGCGCCAAAACCTGGACAGAGGGGAGTGAATGGCAACAGAGGAACCCAGAAGACACGGACAGGATGAAGTCACTCCCTCTCACCTGCTGCTGCCGCTGGAAACGAGGAGGCAACGACTTCTGATATTTGGGGTAGCCCAACCCCTGACAGGGGGGCTGCCGGGCAGGGCCGAGCCCATCACTCTTGGGCTCCACTTTTGGGGCCGGGGGTGTGGTAGGTGGAGGAACCTCTTCTGGCGGCTCAGGCCCTTCTTTTGAAGGCAGCTGGGGTTCCACTGAATCAATAAACAATAATCTAGTCCATTAAAATGCCCCAAAACACCAGGAATTTCAGCCCTGTTCTGAAGCTCCCTTCCCAGAGATAGACGTCTGGTTGACCCTACCGTACTGACGCCCTTTGTGGTGAAGAGCCACAACCACATTCTATAACCACCTCAAGACCTAACGGATGGTGTTGATACTGATGGTATCAGTTTGATGGCATGCCAACTCCCAGAAGAACATCTTCTCAGTCTTGTTCCATCTAAGCCTACAGCACTGTCTACTTGCCCCGACCCCATCCCCTCTTGGCGCTCAGGATGGAGTCTACGGCCTTCACACTAAGCTATAACCCCTATCCCTTAATTGCCCAGGCTGAGCTTGAACTAGTGACCATCCACCTCATCCTCCCAGAATGCAGGGATTACAGGCCTGTGCCACACCAGGCTTAGAAGTGGTTTTAGACCCCTCCCTTTCTCTCAGACGCCACACAAATTCTAGGACCCCTTTCCCTACACCCAAGATGCTGAGGAACCAAAGCACCTGCCTTCCACTGCATCTACTCCCATCTTTACCACCCAGCCCCATACCCATCCTTCCTAGTACCTGGGCTGGCTTCCAAGCTGCCACTGCTGGCACTACTGGTAGCGCCACCATTGCTGAGAGTTGGAGCTGGAGCCACACCTGGACTGGGGGTGGCCTGGGCAGGAGGGGCCTGTGCTGGCTCTTCAGGCTCTTTCTCTGGCACCAAGGCAGGTGCTGGTGGAGGTGCAGGTGTTGTGGGGAGCTCCTTGGGGGGTGCAGGTGGCAGAGGGGGAACAGGAACAGCAGCAGCAGCAGGGGGTGGGGCAGCAGGTTCTGCTTTGAGCCGCTTGTCAGGGGCTCCAAACTTTTCATCGAGTCGCTTGAGCTTCTCAGCACAGGCTGCCCGGCGCTCCTCCTGCATGCGCCGCTCCTCCTCCTCGCGCCGTCTCCGGGCTCGCTCCACAGCCAGGGAGATTTCAGAAGAAGACTGTTTTCGTCGCTGCCGCCAGGCCTCATCCTCATCCTCCGGGGCAGGGGGCTTACAGGGCGGCCCCCCGCGATCCTGTCAGTGGCAGACGGACAGGGCAGGTACATTAGTCACTTTGCTTTCTACCACCCCCTGCACAGATCAGTCAACTGTCTCTAGCTACAGGGTACAAACAGCAAGACTCGGGGTTGGTGGCCTCTCTGGGTGCAAAGTCGTCATCCCTGTCTCTCACACTTCTATCTTTTGGGACCCCAGATCTCCTTATTCTTCCTCACCAGCACCCCAATTTTTCTCCCAGACTCCCCTAACAGCAAGAATGTTCCCAAGCTTTCCAGACATGGGACCCAAGCTCCCTGGACTCCATGGACGACCTTCAGCCCTCCCTCCAGCTTCCTCCGCCACTCGGCTGACCCCTCCCGCAATGGACCCTCTCGATCCCCCATTGAGACACTCACTGGGTAGTCCCCAGGGGGGCCCCAGTTCCCGGCGGGGCCCCGGTGAGGTGGGGGTGGGGGAGGCTTTGGGGCAGGAGGCCCCGGCTCTGTCTCTGGAGGCCGAGAGGTCTCTGCCCAGGCCGTCTTGGGAGGGGGCGGCTCGCTGCCAGGGGAGGTGCCCTTTTTGCCATCTGCTTCAGGGGGCCGTTCCTCACCAGCAGCCGGTTGGGAGTCCTTGCTGTGAGCAGATCAACAGGGGAATTAAGTTCAGCCCCACCCAGCTCCTAAGAATGGCGTACCACCGGAGCTGCGGCCCCCAGCCCGACTCACCGGCCCTCGGCTCCCTCCTCATCAGAATCTCGCCCATCTTCCTCATCGCTGAACTTGAGCTTCTCAGTGTAGTCAACCTCCTCGTGGGCCCCTGAAGGGAAGAACCAAGAGCTGTAATCCACACTACATGATCCCTGGTCTCACAGGCCCTACCAGGAGACAGGCAGTGATCTGGCACCACATACAAGGATGCACCATCAACGCCTGTACAAGTCTAGGTCTCCTACGACTCACTGCTCTTATTCCTGTTGTATCAGGACTTGGTTTCCCTCCACAATCTCATGCCTTTCAATGCCTGCTTTTCCCACACACTATTTCCAGTTTCATTTCTTCAGACTTTGCCTTTCAAAACCCAACTGTTTGATCCTTAATGGATATAATCACCGGCCCAGCCATCGTCATTCTCCTGGTCCAACTGGTCGAACTCTTTGAGATTATCCTCTTTTAGAATAGAAGGCCGACCCACAGGCTCTACAAGTCGCATTGGTGGCCCAGAGCCCCGAGGACCTGCCACACGGGGGAAACGGCTATGTGTGGAGAAGGGGAAAGAAAAGAAAAAGATAGCACGTTGTACAGCCACACATGAAACTGAGCCTCCCGGCTAAAACAACCATCTCCTCCCCCAACAGGCATCCCCTGCTCCCAACCACAAAGCCAGACCTGGATCGCTCACCTGGGCCCATCAGGAGTGGGGTATCTGTAAGGCCCCTGGGGTCCATAGGGCGGAGGGAACGGGAGGTATGGGGGATACATCTGCAAAAGGGCCCAACAGCAGCTGCTCAGAGGGGCAGTCAAACAGCCTGCCAGCCCTTAAACTTGCTGACATCCTGTCTGTCTCACAGATGCCCGCTTCCTAACTGTGCCCTCCAGACCCTAAATTTTCACTCCTACACTACTTCTGGTGCAACGACTCCAAAATAAGATATCCAAACTCACAAAGGGCGGCATCATTCCGCGGTAGGGAGGGAACTGGGGTGGGCCCGAAGGCTGCAGTGCCCCCCGGGGATCATGACCGTGATGAAGTTTGGAGTCTGGGCCCTCCAGCTCATCAGGGCCACGCCCACCTCCGTCCCTCCAAGTTGTAGAATCTGTATTTCGGAAAAGGGAGAGAAAAGCAGATGAGGAGGAGGAGGAGGGAGAGATTAATGACTCAAGGGCCGGAGAAAACAATGGCCAGAAGCTCTAAGATGAAACAGGTAATGTCCAAGGCAGACCCTCACTTTGGGGGCGGAGGTTTGGTCCGGGCCCAGACGACTGCTCGGCAGACTCCCTTTCCTTGGCAGCCTTGTCCTGGTCGCCAGCCGCCTGCAGGGTCGGAAATTCCTCTCGAGAGAATCGCGACAGTAGGTTTGATGCCCTTCCACCTGTTGAGATGAGGACGCAGAAGATACAGACACATGTACTGAGGATGCACCATGCAAATGAAAGGCTCTGACAGCTACCAGATTGTCAGGTTCCGGTCCTGAAGCTCAGCCCTGTGGTGAGTATAGGTGTTCACTCCCGAAGAGAAAAGGACAATTCTGGGACCACTCCACCCCCTCACACAAGACCAACACTAAATATGGACAAGGGCCGAGGTTCAGTCAAAGCAGACCAAGGACCCATCCATGAGGGAAAGCGCAGGCCTCCAGCCTCACGTGGTACCCGGACACAGCTCCCCCAACAGTCCTGTGCTCACCATCTCCGTGTGCTCCATGGGTGACGCTGGCCTGTGCCCAGGACTTTACCCCGCTTGGAACCGAAGGAGTGTTCTGGGGAAGCAGTGAGACTCCATGGTGATATGGGTAGTGGGACCGCATGCCAGTTCCTCCCCAGTCCTCCCAGTCCTCCCAGTACCTCGGGGACTGTCGGGGGTCGTTTCGGTTGGTTGGAGGCAGGCGTCTGTGAAGCCGGCAGTGGCTGCGATTCCGGCGGCTGAGCAGTTGAGGCATCGGAACTGAGGAAGTAGTAGAATGAGAACTCTATAACTACAGCATGGGAAGCCACCCTAGTTCTCCAACTGGAAACAGGGACTGACTCTAGGTCCGTCACTACCATTTACAAACATCAAGACAAAACTTTGCCAGTTTCTTCAAGCTCTCCTTCCATTTCAAAGGAAACTAAAGGTACATTTCTTAGTCATCAATAGGAAACCTAGCACAGGTACAAAAGGTGCCTCTCGCTTTATTTCTGCCATAACACAGAGGCTCTGAGGCTGGACCAAACCAAGCCTCAATTCATCCTAAAGTGCAAAGTAGAAGTCCTAATCATTCTAGGTTTCCCAAGCCTCTGTCTACCTCTTGGGGTCGGACTGCTCCTGTTTGCTTGCCCATCCTGTTCCGTCTTTCGGGACTAGTGAGACATTGGGGTCATTGCCTTTGTTCTCGGCTTTCAGGCTTGGAAGGTTGGCTGGGGGTGGCATACGCCGGGCAATGGCAACTTTCCCGAGACTCTGCAGGCCATGGCGAGGGGCAACTGAAGAAAGGTGGAGAGAGGATCAAAAATTGCCTCACACAGGAGATCTGACAGCCTCCCACCCTGTGCCCCAATTACATGTCCTACTACCCACTTACTCTAATTTGTTTAGAAACCACTTTCTCCCTTGATAACAATCCTGGAAGTCCCTAATGGAAAGGCTGAGATAGATGTTGCTGTATGTGAGATGGTTGATCTTGAGCCTGCGGGGAGCAAGCTGGCCCCAGATGTCTCCAAATCCACATTTTTGTGCCTCCAATTCTTACGTGTCCAAAGACAAGGAACCAAAGACACGCCTTTGTAGGAGGGTAACTGGTGTCATCCCAGAGCCCAACAGCCGTACAGGGCCCTACAGGTAAAAGTGGGAGGTCTCTAGCGTTCCTCTATTGCAGTTAGTCCCCTTCAAAGAACTCTGAAAGCTGGGCATGGTGGCGCACACCTGTCATCCCAGCACTCAGGAGGCTGAGGCAGGAGGAATGCTGTGAGTTGGAGACCAACCTAGGCTACATAGTGAGTTCCAGGTCAGTCTAAACTACATAGTGAGACCCTGTTGCAAACAAACAAACAAACAAACAAACAAAAAAGAAAAGAACTCTGAAGTGTTCACCCTACTCATGCCTGGCCAACCATTAGAAGCATCTTTTTGCAGGACCCTCACCAGCGGGTTTCTGGATCTCTAAGGACTTGCCCTTATATGTATCAAACAGGTTGAGCGAGGAATACTTCTTTCCATCCTTCCCCTTGGCAGTCGGCCCCGAGCGATCGGACATTGCGCTGGAAGCTCATTGAGTACGTTGGGTCCTGCAGGCACCTCCCCCGAAACGTGCCGGAGCCTGTGGGCCAGACAGCAAGCATCTCAGTCTCGGCTCCTTTCACAGGCTACAACAGGAGCCTACAAGCTCCCTTTTATTCTCCCTACGGGCCCAGATATGTGGCCCTTCAGTGTCCTTTCTCACAGCCTATATAAATTCCCCAGCCTCTTAAAGCAACTATCTACTCAGCACCCAAATGCCCTGCTCGGTCTTTCTCTTGGACACCCCCCATCGAGAAAAACCAAATAAAACTCTAATACCTTCCCAGTATAAATGCTCTGGTGTTTGTGCCAGTGTAGAAAGGCTAACAGCCTCTTCATTATTCCCAAGAGTAATAATCTTCCCTCCACCAAAATAATTTTAGAGACCTACAATAAAACAGGACAAGCAAGTCCAAGCCCCAGAGAAAACCAGAGAGAGGCACACAACTCCATCACACAACACCAACTTATTACACCAGCTTCTTAATCATGCCCCTGGGCCCTGGGCCCAGGTTCCATTCCCAGCAGCCTTAAGTCCCATCTGGGGAGTTTTGCAGGAACGTATGCTGGGAGTTTAAGGATTTTATGAGCTTTCTCTGCCACACTGGAAGCTGAGAAATCCTCATGGAACAACAGAGGCTGTACATACTCCCAGGCTGCAGAACTCCAAGTATTTGAAATACTCCATCTTTTCCTACGTTTGCCTCCATCTTGGCTCCTAGGAATAGTCCTGTCTCCAGAAGAAACAATAGTGGGCTCTGGTTTAACCTACACAGAACTAAGAAAATCAGAGCATTAAGGGAGCTACCCAGAGAACATCTGTAACTGTGGGCCAACTACCAACTTCCATTTTCCTATCATCAAAAACATCCACCAGCAAACATTTCTTTCCCTAACAGGCCCTGCTCCCCAAGCAAGCCGAACTCCATCCTCAGTCCATTCTACGATGAAGGTGTTCGTTCATTTGTGGGTGGAAAGAGTGTAGAAGGGAAGAGGGTGGTGAAAAGGAAGCAGACAAGTCCAGGATGAAAGCCAAAACCTGGGAGACAGAACTTTATGACAGGCTAGAGATGAGAGGATGTGGATGGCTTTGCAGATGCCACGGAAGCCAATCTGTGAAAATAAATATACAAAGGAAAGGAGGCCGAAGAATCGCAGAGTGAACGGACAAAAATGAGGACACGAAAGCAGACGGGAGACAATACACGCAAACAGCAATGGCTGTGAAAAGACGCGGAGCAGAAGGAAGGAGGCAATATCAAGAGGCTAAGGCAGAAAAAGGGGGTTGGGGAAGAAAGAAAGGCACGGGGTTAATAAATGAAAAGGCAGAGGAGATTCTCACTGAAGAATGGAAGGCACAGATGCGGGATAAAAGCAAGGCTCCAGAGAGGGAGTGACTCGACGCAGAGGGGAGCCAGCAAAGGAGAGCACCGCGCCGGGTCTCCTCGAACTAGAGAGAAGCCCTCTAAGAGGCGGCCCGGCGGGCGCGGCGCACCCCAGGGCGCCAGGGAAGGGTCCGACAGATGGGAGGGAGGGTCCGGGAGCGCAGCGGAGGTTGGGAAGTCACAGGCCGAGGAGCAGGGTCGCTCCCCGAAGCCAGAACGGTGGGTGGTTCCGACAGGCGGCAGGCCCGGAGAGAGGGGCCTGGAGTGCGGTCCTGGAGCAGAGGTACCGGAGGGGGAGGGGCAGGCAGGGCCGGCAGCAGGAGGACAAAATGGCGGCG